ATTTTTTTTTTTTTTTTTTTTTTTTTTTTTTTTATAGGACATTTTGATGGTTTATTAAGTTATAGATCAATAAATAAATTAAATGTTCCTTTTTATACAATAAAAGGGCATAAAGGAATAATAAATGAGGTGTCTATACACCCCAATTGTCCCCTTTTTATTAGCGGAGGTAGTGATGGTAATGTACATCTATGGGATATAAGAACTAAACATAATGTAAGGATTTATTTTATTTATTTATTTTATTTATTTATTTTATTTATTTATTTGTCTATTTGTTTATATTATTTATTTATTTATTTATTTATTTTTATTTTTTTTTATTCTTTTTTTTTTTGTTATTTTTAAGGGTTTAGGGTTTAGGGTTTAGGGTTTAGGGTTTAGGGTTTATATATAGTATGTATTATTTATTGTATAAAATTAAAATAATTATAGTGTATGCATGCATTTATATTTGTCTTTTTATTTACTGTATTTACTATCTAGGGTTTAGGGTTTATTATTGTTTATTAGGATTAATTAGGGTTAATTAGGGTTAATTAGGGTTTAGGGTTTAGGGTTTAGGGTTTTGTGTATAGGTGTTATCGTTAGTAGCAGAAGATGGCGAAGAAGCAGCAGAATGTTGGTCTGTATGTTGGGGAGGTTGTACGCCTCCTCCCTCATCATTATCAGGAGGAGGAGGAGGAGGAGGAGGAGCAGCAGCAGCAGCATCAGCAGCATCAAACCCCCCATCATATGACCCCTCATTGGATTCGTCTCGACATACCTCGAATGAATCTGCTGCTGGATTAGCAGCAGCAGCAGCAGGAGCAGCAGGAGCAGCAGCAGGAGCAGCAAGAACATATTCTCCTTATGGTATAATATTTGCAGGATACGATAATGGTGATATAAAAATAATGGATATAAGAGGACCAAAAATAATAAATGAATTAAATATTAATTTTGGAATTTGTAAATTAAAAACGGATCGACCGGAAATTCAAATTAATAAATTAATTGTCGCAGCGTTAGAGGGTAGACTCGTTACTCTTGACCTCAAAACCCTAAACCCTAAATTAGGGTTTGCAAGAAAAGAACAAAAGATAGCATCAGGTAGGCACTAAACCCTTAATAATATATATACACTGTTTTATATATTTACACTATATACATTAATTGTCGCGGCGTTAGAGGGGAGACTCGTTACTCTTGACCTCAAAACCCTAAACCCTAAATTAGGGTTTGCAAGAAAAGAACAAAAAATTGCATCAGGTAAATAATAAACACTTAATTGTATATATAGGGAATTATATAAATAATAAATAGTAGGTGTTAGAGGATAGATAGATTACTGCGGACCTCAAAACCCTAAACCCTAATTTAGGGTTTGCGAGGAAGGAGCAGAATATTTCGTTTGGTAAACCCTAAACCCTAGATTATAGAAACACTAAACACTAAGCATTAGTGGGTGTATTAGTTACTGCGGACCGCAAAACCCTAAACCCTAATTTAGGGTTTAGGAGGAAAGAGGAGAAGATTACATTAGACGAAAAAATATAAAGAGTAAACCCTTATTATAAACCCTAAACCCTAATTTAGGGTTTACGAGAAAATAACAAAAAAAATTGCCAAATTTTATTCATAATTAGTAGACTATATAAACACTATACACTAAACCCTAAACCCTAATTTAGGGTTTGCAGGCAAGGGGGGAAGAAAATCGCTGCATGTAAACCCTAAACCCTAATTTCTGTAGATCCTAAACCCTAGAGTTTTTGTATTGTATACAATACTAAACCCTAAACCCTAATTAGTAGACCCTAATAAACCCTCAATTAGGGTTTGCATGTATAAGGAGTAGACGGATTGCCTCTGGTCAAACCCTAAATACTATAGACACTAAACCCTAAACCCTAAACCCTAATTTCTATTCGCTAAACCCTAAACCCTAATTTATAAATCCTAAATATGATAAACCCTAAACCCTAATGTTTTATTTTTATATGCATAAGAAGACTTTGTACCCAAAGAACAATATCTTCCCCCGACGTAAACCCTAAACCCTAAACCCTAATTTCTATTATATAGACCCTAAACCCTAAACCCTAAAAATAAAACCTAAACCCTAAAGATTCCTCCGTGGGTTACGAGGCATATCTTTGCTCTTGGTTGCTGCTGCACTTTCCTCTTGCTCCTGCTGCTGCTGCTGCAAGACTGTGTGAGTCTCCTGCCTTAGCTGTGGGTGTGTTGTTTGCACTTGCTCTTGCTGCTGCTGCTATTGCTGCTATTGCTGCTATTGCTACTCTTGCTGCTGCTGCTGCTGTTGGTGGTAGTGATGTACGACTAGGGTTTGTGGTTTATTAACAGGGACTATTTGGGGTGTTTATCCTCTCCCACAGAATAGAGAGATAATAGCAGCAAGCTGTGGCAGCGGGACGGTAAGCAGCACCATAATCAGCAGCAGCAACAGCAGCAACAGCAGCAGCAGCAGCAGCAGCAGGAGGATAAAAATAGAAAACATTATCAGTATCAGTAGAACCATGAATAGCAGAGGATCATAACTTCCCTTAATATAGCAAAATAACATAATGACATCTCTCCTCTCCCTCTCTCCTCCCTCTCCCTCTCCTCCCTCTCCTCCCTCTCCCTCTCCCTCTCCTCCCTCTCCCTATCCCTATCATCTGTTATTATATATATATATTATATGAATGTATAGGTATCAATATATAATTATTCATATCCATTAAATCGTACAATAGAGGATAAGGATTCAGGTCTCCTTGTTGGTGTCGTAGGAGAACAAAAGAAATTAAATGAATCAAAAATATGTGATCAACCAATAATTAATTTTTGTTGGCATCCAAATAAAATTGGACTTTCTATTATATCATCAATTGATTATTATATTCGTCTTATTATTATCACTAAATTACATCTATATTAACTTACTACTGTTGCTACTGTTGCTACTGTTACTGTTGCTGTTGCTGCTATTGCTGCTCCTGTTGCTGCTCCTGTTGCTGCTGCTATTGCTGCTGATGGTGCTCGTGATGGTGATGAGGATGAGGATGATGGGGTGTGTTGTCTCAATATTGCTATAGGAGATATATAATAGGGGATGACATAATTATTATATGTATCTGCCTATCATTATTACTGCTGCAGCTAGAGTAACAGCAGCAACAACAGCAGCAGCAGCAGCAACAGCAACAGCAACAGCAACAGCAACAGCAGCAGTAGTAACAGTTGTCATGGATTTCCATGTTATTGCTGCTGCTGCTGCTGCTGCTATTGCTGCTGCTGCTGCAGTTTCTATTTCTGTTAACTATTAACTTACATGAACTTTTGTCATAAATGTCAATAACAACTAGCTACTATTCCTGCTGCTGCTGTTGTTGTTGCTGCTGCTGCAGCAACAGCAGCAGGAGTTCGTAGAGATTATGGTGGTGCTGCTTCAGCAATAGCAGCAGCTGCTAGTACACCTATTGCTGCTGCTGCTGTTGTTGTTATTGTTGCAGCAGCAGCAGCAGCAGCAGCACACACGGTGTTACACACAATGCACAACAATAGGCATTTCCCACACAGATCTAAACAACTTCATTTGCTGCTGCTGCAGCAACAGCAGCAGCAACTGCTGCTCAGCAGCAGCAGCAACAGCAGCAACAGCAGCTGCTGCTGCTGCTGCTGCTGCAGCAACACTTCTATTATTATTATTATTTCCTTATAGGAAACAAAAAGCACTTTGGCAAACACATATGCATTAAAAAAGGCACAAAAAATAAAACATTCCTGCTGCTGCTGCTGCTGCTGCTGCTGCAGCAAGAGCAGCAGCAGCAGCAGCAGCAGCAGCACCCCACACCAAGAGCAGCAGGACAATGAGCTGCAGCACCTCATACAGTGAACTTCATACGCTTTGTTCCATTGATGTTGCTGCTGCCGCTGCTGCTGTTGCTGTTGCTGCTGCTGCTGCAGCAGCAATGTTCTGCTGAATAAAAATTTATTCTTCCTTTATGGCTGTTTGTATATCCAATTTAGCAGCAGCAGTTGTTGCTGCTGGTGCGGCTGCTGCTGCTGCTGCTGCACTTGCTGCTGCTGCAGGTGCGGCTGTTGCTGGTGCACTTAGTGCTGCTGCAGGTGCGGCTGCTGCTGTTGCAGTTGCTGCTGCTGGTGATCTTGCACTTGCTGCTGCTGCTGCTGCTGCTGCTGCTGCTGCAGCAAGTGCATGCTTATGGGCCTGTAGCAGCCTGCTGTGCTGCTGCTGCAGCCACAGCAGCAAATCATAAGGACAAAGATTAATAAAAAAAGAATTAATATCTTCTCTTATTCTTTTTATCTTCCTGCTGCTGCAGGTAACAACAATATCTCCTGCTGCTGTTGCTGCTGCTGCTGCAGCAGCAAACTCAAAACGTAAACCTATACCACCTAAAGAACGACGTAAATCTGCTGCTGCTAACGAATCTGCTGCTGTTGTTGCTGTTGCTGCTGCTGTTGCTGTTGCTGCTGCTGCTGCAGCAGAGGGGTCTTCTGATGTCTCCGTCTTCGGAGTTCTCTGGTCGCAGCCATTGCTGCTGCTGCTGCTGCTGCTGCTGTTTCTGCTGTTGCTGCTGCTGTTGCTGCTGCTGTTGGTGTTACGTTCCGCTGCATGCGAGTCTCGCTCTTGCTCTTGCTGCTGCTGCTGCTGCTCCTCCTCCTCCTCGTCGTCTTCCTCTTCTTCCTCTTCCTCCTCTTCCTGTTGCTGCTGCAGTTGTCTTGCTGCAGCAACAACAGCCTTACCTGCCTGCTGAATAATTTGCTGCTGCTGCATGCAGTAATCAAATTGGTTATCTATGCTGCCAGCCCCATTATTAACAGCAGCAGCAAATCCATTAAATTGCTGCAGCAGCAGCAGCAGCCAATCACTACTTGCTGTACTAAGAGATGTACCTAGCAGCAATGCAGCAGGAGCAGCAGCAGGATGCCAATTGCTGCTACTCCTACTGCTGCTGCTGCTGCTGTTCTTGATGCTGTTACTGTTGATAGCGCTGTTCTTCCTCCTGCTGCTGCTGCCTTTGCTGCTGCTGCCTTTGCTGCTGCTGCCGTTGCTGCTGCTGCCGTTGCTGCTGCTGCCGTTGCTGCTGCTGCTGCTGCTGTTGATATCTGTGGAGGCTGCGGATATGGAGTTAACATCGCCATTATCACACAACGGATCAGCAGCAGCAGCAGCAGCAGCAGCAGGAACTCCCGCTGCTGCTGCTGCTGCTGCTGCTAGCTCCCCAGAGGGCAGCAGCCAACTCTGTGGGGAGCGACAAGAGCTGCACATACACCTGGAGCCCCCGCTGCATGTTAGATGCGCAGCAACATCACAAGAGCTGCTGCTGCTGCTGCTGCTGCTGCCGTTGGTGCTACTGCTGCTGCTGCTGCATGCGGTGCTGCACTGACTCAGCGCCTCCCCCTTCTGCAGCAAACGAACAGAGCATCTGTTGGGCTTCCCTCTTTGAGCAATGGATGCAGCAGCAGCAGCAGGAACTCCTGCTGCTGCTGCTGCTGCTGCTGCCGTTGCTACTGGATGCTGCGGTGGCAGGAGCTGCTGTTGTGTTGAGTGCAGCAGCAGGTGGCTGGGATCATACAGCCCTTGTGCTGCTGCTGATTTAACAGCAGCAGCAGCAGCAGCTCCGTTGCTGCCTGCAGCAGCAGCAGCAGCAGCAGAATGCAGCAGCGCCCTTACAAATCCATCAGCAGCAAATGCCTTATGAGGGGAGAAGAGACATTCATCAAAAAGGAGACACAAAGGGAGACAAATGCTGCTGCAGCAGGGACATACAGGATATACATTCCCTGCTGCTGCTGCTGCTGCTGCTGCTTCTTCTGCTGGTCCTGCAGCAGCAGCAGCAGCAGCAGCAGCAAAAGGAGACACTACAGGAGAGGTGTCTCCTTTCTTAGCAGCAATCCATACAACCTGCGAATGATGCAGCGCGGACTCGAAGGCAAAGGGACACATGATGCCTTGCTGCTGCTGCTGCTGCTGCTGCTGCTGCTGCTCTACCTGCTGCTGCTGCTCCTGCTGCTGCTGCTGCTGCATCCCCATACACCGGAAGAAGAAGACATTGCCGTGCAATTCATGCACAGGTATAAACCAAGGCAGCACAAAGAAGGAATTATTTAGGGGGAAATCAGCAGCAGCAGCAGCACCTGCTGCTGCTGCTGCTGCACCTGCAGGAGCAACTGGAGCATCTGTAGCAACAGAAGCAGCAACTGCTGCTTTTGCTGCTGCGTCAGTCTTTCCTAGGTGTGCAGCAGCAGCAGCTGCTGCTGCTGCTCGTATAGCAGCGCGATAGTTTCCTTGCATTTGTACAAGACATCCCTGCTGCTGCTGTTGCTGCTGTTGTTGCTGTTGCTGCTGCAGCAAGAGCAGCAGCTTGTGCTGCTGCTGCTCCTGCTGCAGCGGCAGCACCCGTAGACCTGACTGCGGTGCTGCCAGCACCGACAGCAGCAGCAGCAGCGCATAACGCTCTAAGTTATCAACATTTTGTGTCAGCAGCAGCAGCCGCTGCGGCTGCTGCAGCAGCAGCAGCGCCAGCAGCAAATGCCATACAGAAGGGAAGGCAGCAGCATATAATTGGGGAGGATGAGCAGCAAACCAGAAGCCAGACAGCCTGCAGCAGCAGCAGCAGCAACAGCAGCAACAGCAGCAGCAATAACAACAACATAACGGTGCAGCAGGGCGTTATAGCAGTACACAGCAAACCCCAAGTACGCCAGCAGCAGTAGCAGCAGCAACAGCAGCACAATGTACAGCAGCAACAGCAGCAGCAACAGCAGCAGCAGCAGCAGCAGCAGCAGCAGCAGCAGCAAGTGTACCAGTCAGTAGGGTTAGCGATTGCTCTGCCAATTGTTGCATCATCTTCATTAAAAGCTCCCCATACACCTAAAGATGCAACGCGCTGCTGCTGCTGCTGCTGCTGCTGCTGCTGCTGCTGCTGTTGCTTCTGCTTCTTTGGTGTAGCAGACGGGCCTACCTCTTGCTGTTTTCGCTTAGGCTGCCGCTTGCTCCGCTGCTGCTGCTGCTGCTGCTGCTGCTGCCTCTTACGCTGCTTCTGCTTACGATACAAAGGAATGCCGCTCAGGCTGCCGAGTCCTGTAATAACAGCAGCAACAGCAGCAGCAGCAGCAGCAGTAGCAGCAACAGCAGCAGCAGCAACAACAGCAGCAGAGGGAGGCAACAGGTGAGCACTCGATTGATAAAAAGTATAAGGAAATACAGCAGCGTAGAAGCAGAAGCAGCAACATGTGCAGCAGCAGCAGCAGCAGTAACAGCAGCCGCAGCAGCAACAACAGCAACAACAGCATCAGCAACAAGAGCAGCAGCAACAGCAGCAGCAGCAGCAGCAGCCGCAGCAGCTGTGCCTACCTGCTCCTGTGAGTATGATGAGAGGATGAGGACAGTTAGGATCAAAGAGAAGGCGCTTCATCATATCTGTGCTGCTGCTGCTGCTGCTGCGGGTACGAATCTGCGGCAGCAGCAGCTGCTGCTGCTGCTGCTCTTCTTGCTGCACCATTTTCGTGCACATCTTTGACCCCTACTAGCTGCTAGCTGCTGCTGCTGCTGCTGCTGCTGTAGCTGTCCGACACTTGCTGCCTTCCTGCTGCTGCTAAGAAGACCCCTAGCCTCTCCAATATAAGCAGGAGGGATGCAGCAGCAGCAGCAGCAGCAGCGGCAGCTCCATGGCTAGGCAGCAGTCGCTGCTAGCTGACGCTCGAGGAAGTGTTGTTGTTGTTGCTGCTGCTGGCTGCTGGAGCCCATGCTGCTGCTGCAGCTATCCGTAGGTGTTACCGCACAGTATGAGCAGCAGCTTGTGCCGATGCTGCTGATGCATCTGCTGCTGCTGCTGCTGCTGCTGCTGCTGTCGTGGGGCCCGTGCAGCAGCAAACTGGGGGGTGATCTGTGCTGCCACTAAGCAGCCATTAAGAGAATAAAGAAGAAGTTCTTCTTTATTGAGTAAATAAATATATTAATTAAATAAACTAGCTGGGCAGCAGCAGCAGCAGCAGCAGCAGACTCCTGCTGCTGCTGCTGCTGCTGCTGCTGCTGTTGTCGCTCCAAGGGCTGCAAGCCGACCGTAGTATACAGAGCGCCCGCGCTGCTGCGGTCTCTAAGATCTGCGGCTGCTGCTGCTGCTGCTGCTGCTGCACGCGCAGCAGCAACAGATTGTCTTTCCTTCTTTCTTGCTTTTACCTTTGTCCCTCTAGTAGTTATTTTGCTGCTGGGCTGTGGCTGCGCCCCAGGCGCTGCAGCCGAACTGCAGCAGGAGGGGCAGCAGCAGCAGCAGCAGGAGCAGCAGCAGACGCATGAGCAGCAGCAGCAGCAACGGTAGTCGGCGGCCCTCCATCGTTTTCCTTTTGGGATTCCTTACCCTCCATGCAACTTGCTACGTGTTGCGGCCTGCGCAGCAGCAGCAGCAGCAGCAGCAGCAGCAGCAGCAGATTCTGACGAACAGAGTCCAGCAACAGCAGCAACAGCAGCAACAGCAGCAGCAGCAGCAGCAGCAGCAGATTCGCGCAGCAGCGCTTTTAAGGTATTGATAGACAGAGTCTGCAATGCCTCGTCTCTGCTGCTGCGAGGATTTACTTCTGTTGCGCTGCCGCAACAATGCAGCAGCAGCAGCAGCAGCAGCAGCAGAAGCAGCAACTGCAGCAGCAGCAGCAGCAGCAACTGCAGCAGCAGCAGCTGCTGCAGCAGATTCCGATTGTTTTCTCAAGCATGCATATCTACGCAGTTTGTGTTATGTATTGATAGCGAAGCAACAGAAGCAGCAGAAGCAGCAGAAGCAGCAGCAGCAGCAGAAGCAGCAGAAGTAGCAGCAACTGCAGCAACAGCAGCAACAGCAGCAACAGCAGCAACGGAGATAGCAACAGCAACAGCACCGGCAGCAGCATCTGCTCCAGCAGCACCAGTAGCAGCAGACCAAGAAGCAGCAGCAGCAGCAGCACCAGAAGCATCAGCAGCGTCAGCTCCAGCAGCAACATCTCCAGCAGCAGCAGCACCAGCCGCAGGAGCAGCAGCAGCAGCAGCAGCAGCAGCAGAGGCAAGCAGCAGTATCCTATCTCTTCCCTCTCGTATCCTTCAGTGTCAGGTGTACATACACCCGATCTTTCTTGCTGCTGAGAGAGCTGCTGCAGTGCCGCACTCTGCTGCTTCTGCTGCTGCTGCTCCTGGTAGTGGTGGTGGTGCAGCAGCAGCAGCAGCAGCAACAGCAGCAGCAGCAGACGATTGTACGTCCTTTATTTTGCTGCAGCTTGTTAGAGAAGCACTCATAGAGGAGAGAGACAAAGCAGCAGCAGCAGCAGCAGCAGCAGCAGATGCTGCTAGTGCTTCCTCAGCAGCAGCAGAAGGTACGAGAGATACAGCAGCAACGGAAGCAGCAGCAGCAGCTGCTGCTGCTGCTGCTGTATCTCGCGTGCTGCAGCAGCTGGAGCAGCACGAGCAGCATCCGCATCATGATGAGCAGCAGGAGGAAGCAGCATCAACAGCAACAACAACAACAGCAGCAGCAGCAGCAGCAGGAGACTGCTGCTGCTGCTGCTCCTCCTCTTCTCATATAACATGGCCAATTGCATGCAGCAGCTTTGCTGCTGTTGGCATCTGCAGCGCAGCAAGGCAGCAAATAGGCAGAAGTTTAATTGTTGCTGCTGCTCTCCCTTTTGTCTCCTTTACTACTAATAATAATAATAATACTGCAGCAGCAGCAGCGGTAAGATATTCTGCTGCTTATGCTGCTGTTGCTGCTGCTGTTAGTGCTGCTGTTGCTGCTGCTGGATGTGCTGCTGTTGCTGCTGCTGGATGTGCTGCTGTTAGTGCTGCAGTTTCTGCTGCTGTTAATGTTGCTGCTGCTGCTGCTGTTAGTGCTGCTGTGTTTGTGGCTGCATTTGCACAAAACATCATCACCATCTCCTTGCTGCTGCTGCTGTTGCTGCTGCTGCTGCTGCTGCTGTTGCTGCTGCAGGTGGTGCGAGATTTTTTTTTCTTTTGCTGCTTGGAGGCGATGGGTTCTGCTGCTGTTGCTGCTGAGGAATTTTTTCTTGCTTCTCCTTTTCTTTGCTTTAATACGGATTTATCTGCTGCTGCTGCAGCACGTCGTGCTGCTGCTGCTGCTGCTCAGGTGTATAGGCACCTTGTTTCTTGGGTAGCAGAGCTGCAGGGAAGACAATTAACAGCTCTTGCTGCTGCAGTGCAGCAGATGCAGGTACCAGCAGCAGCAGACACAAATGAGCTGCTGCTGCCTTGCTGCTGCAGCAGCTGTTCCTCGGCTCGCGACAAAGGAGTACCAGCAGCAGGTTCTTCAGGTGCAACAGCAGCTGCAGCAGCTGCAGCAGCAGCTGCAGCAGCAGCAGCTGCTGCTGCAGCACCAAAAGAAGCAGCAGGAAGAAAACGAGAGTCTCTATTCAGCTGTTTCTCCAGCAGCAACTTTAGGCAGCGCATGCAATCCTTGTTAGCAGCAGATTCCCCTCCAGGTGCAGCAGCAGCAGCAGCAGCAGCAGCAGTTGTACTGCTGGAGGCAGCAGACTTTTTACCGGATACAGAGGAAGATAGTGCAACACCAAGAACAATTGCAACACCACCAACAGCAGCAGCAGCAACAGGAGGAGGAGGAGCTGCAACAGCAGCAGGAGGAGCAGCAGCACAAAAGCCCCGCTGCTTCTCTGCTGACCTTACTCGCTTCTGCAGCAATTTCGTTAACGAGAAGCTGCTGCAACACATGCAGCAGCAGCTGCTACAGCAGCAGCTGCTGCAGCAAGAACAGCAGCAGGTGCTGAGTCCAAGGGAGACAGCAGAGCTGCAGCAAGGTCTTGATGGTTTGCTGCAGCAGCTGCTGCTGCAGGAACAAGAATTACAAACACAGCGGCTACAGCAGCAGCAGCAGCAAATGCTGCTGCTGCAGTCTAACTGCAGCAGCAGCATTCATGAGGGTGAGGAACTTGTATCTCCTGCTCTTGCGCTGATGGAAGGCTACCGCAGCAGCAGCAGCAGCAGCAGCAGCATCACCACCACCACCACCACCAACAGCAGCAGCAGCAGCAGCAGCAGCAAGCAGCAGCAGCCAGTTAATGCCTTCGGTCTCCTATGGGACATTGTTAGATCTCCTCTAATAAAAGATGAGCAAAGAGACATCTTATTCTTCCAGCAGCTGCAGCGGCAGCAGCAGCTGCTGCTGCAGCAACAGCAGCAGCAACAGCAGCAGCAGCAGCAGCAGCAAGAACAATTGCAACAACTACAGCAACTTCAGCAACTCCAGCAGTTGCAACAACTGCAGCAGCTGCAGCAACTGCAGCAGGTGCAGCAGCTGCAGCAGCTGCAGCAGCTGCTGCTGGACCCGACAGGGCGGACTCTCTCCCGTACTACCAACAACCGCAACAACCGCAGCAACCAGCGCAGCAGCAGCAGCAACAGCAGCAGCAGCAACAGCAACGAGCTTGGCCTATCTTTAACTTTGCAGCATGCATGGGGTAGCTGCAGATACACCGTAGATGGCTTTGCTGCTGCCGCTGCTCCCTGCAGCGCAGCAGCAATTGGTGCTTTGCTGCACTTATCTCCTCCTTTGCTTCCTTGGCTACAGGAGAGTCTAACGAATACAACTATGAGCAGCAGCAGCAACAGCAGCAGCAGCAGCTGGCTGCTTGGGGCTCCCCCTTCTCTGCCTGCTGCAGCAGCAGCACTATTAGAGTCCCTCTCTCCTCCTGCATGCAGCTGCTCTTATGCCTTGTGTCTGCCGAGTGCTGCGCTGCAGCAGCAGCTGCTGCTGCAGCGGCGCCTCGGCCTTCCGCAGCACGTGCTGCTGCAGCAGCGGTGGTTCCCGGTGTCTGTACACCGCAAAACAGTAGAGACAGCAGCAGCACAGCTGCTGCAGCGTTATGGTTACCCAGAGCCACGAAGTCCTGCTGCTGCTGTTGCTGCTGTTGCTGCATTTGTTGCTGCTGCTGCAGCAGCATCAGCAGCAAAAACGCGGAGAAGAATAGCTGCCTCCTCTGCAGCATCCCCTGCGAAGACAGCACCAACAGAAGCAACAGCTGCTGCTGCTGCTGCACCAGCACTAGCAGCAGCAGCTGTTGCTGCAGCAGCAGCAAAGGATACTTCGTGGAGGCTTGGTAAGTCTGCCGTCTTCTTGTCTTCTCGTGCTGCAACGCAGCTGGTGGAGGTGCAGCAGCTGCTGCAGCAGGAGGGGGAAGGGCCATGGATGGCAGCCGCAGCAGCAGCAGCAGCAGCAGCTGCTGCTGCTGCAGACAGGAAGCAGCAAATCCGTGCTGCGCTGCGATCGAGGGTTATATGCATTGCTGCGTTAGAGAAGATGCGCAAACGCAGCAGCAGAAGACGGCGAGCAGCAGCAATTGCTGCTGCAGCTGCTGAGGATGCTGCAGCAGCAGCAGCAGCACTAGAAGCAGCAGCAGCAGCAGCAGCAGCAGCAGAACCAGGAGCCAATGAAGCTCCTGCAGCCAACGAGCTGCAGCAGCTGCAGCGGATGCCGCAATTGCGGCTCGTTGAACGACATCCACACACCCAACGCGGCAGTGCTGCTGCTGCTGCTGCTGCTCCTGCTCCTGCTCCTGCTCCTGCTGCTCCTGCCAAGGATCATGATAAGCATGCTCCTGCTGCTGCTGGTAAAGACCGTGATAATGCTGTGGCCGCAGCAGCAGCAGCTGCTGCTGCTGCTGCACCTGCAAAGCCGGAGGAAAGCCATCTGCCCGCGGCGCTGCACCTTCATAAGCAGCCGCCTGGAAGTGCTGATCCGCTGCAGCAGCAGCAGCAGCAACAGCAGCAGCAGCAGCAGCAGCAGCAAAAGAGTTCTCTGTTTCAAAGCAGCAGCAGAACTACAGCAGACGTCTCCCAAAAGGGGAGTACAGGCGAAGGAAGCTGCGGAGACACCGCAGCAGCAGCAGGAGCCGCAGCAGCAGCGGCACCAGCAGCAGCGGCACCAGCAGCAGCAGGCACAGCAGCAGCAGCAGGTGCAGCAGCAGCATCAACGGTGGAGGGCAGTGTTGATTCGCACGATAAGCGACGAAGGAGACAGAGGAGACACCGTCCCCCACCAGCAGCACCTCCGCCACCTCCAGCAGCACCTGCTGCTGCTGCAGCAGCAGCAGCAGCAGCAACAACAAATCGTCGGGTCCCTCCCCCTCCGCCTCCCTATCCTCCACCTCCCGCCTATCCACCGCCACCTCCTGTTCCTCCTCCCCCTCCATTGATGCAGCAGCTGCAGTGGCAGCAGCAGCTGCTGCTGCAGCAGCTGCAGCAGGTGCAGCACCCTCTGCAGCAGCAGCATCACCAGCATTCAACTTCCTTTCCCCATCATACAAGACAGCCCCTGCTGCTGCAGCCAACGCAGCAGCAGCAGAAACAGCAGCAGCAGCAACAGCAGCAGCAAATCCGGGTTAGCAGTAGTCGTCAGCAGCGGCATCGTGCCGCCTCTACCCTGCAGCAGCAGCAGCAACAGCAGCAACAGCCGCAGCAGCAGGAAGAGCAACGGTTGCTTCAAGAGCAGCAGCAACTGCAGCTGCAGCTGCAGCAGCAGCAGCAGCAGCAGCAGCAGCGCCTCCCGTTGTATGCCTCACAAGGGAATATGCAGATGATGAATGGGCCTCCTCCTCCCCCACCTCCTCCGCAGCAGCTGCCGCTGCACCAGCAGCAGCTGCTGCTGCTGCAGCAGCAGCATCGGTTGCAGCAGCAGCAACTGCTGCTGCTGCAGCAACAGCAGCAGCAGCAGCAGGCAGAAGGGGTCCGTATGTATCATCTGGCTTGTCAAAGGAAGGGCAATGCAATAATAAACAACAGCAACTGCAGCAGCAGCAACAGCAGCAGCAGCAGCAGCAGCAGCAGCAGAAGCATGCCTCCTCCTCCTCCTCCTGCCCAAGGAGGGCATTGGGTATTCAGAGATGGAGTTTGGGGATTAATTAACCAATAAATTAATTAATTAATTAATTAATTAATTAATTAATTAATTAATTAATTAATTATAATTAATTAATTAATTAATTAATAAGTAATTATTATAATAATATAATTAATAAATAAGATTATTTATATAATAAATATAATTAATAATTAATAAATATAATTATTAATTATATTTATTTATTAATTAATTAATTATATTAATTAATTAATTAATTAATTATAATTATTAATATAAATAATAATTATATATAATAATATATAATTATTATCCGTGTCTTCTTGTTTGTTATATTTATGTTTAATATCTACATATAGAGTGAGAAAGCTGCTGTGCTGCTGCTGCTGCTGCTGCTGCTGCTGCTTGGCAGCAACGCAGCAGCACAGCAGCAGCTCGTGGCTCACTCTCCGCCCCATTTGTTGCCCCAGTTACTGCTCTTGCTGCAGCAGCAGCAGCAGAAGCAGCAGCAGCAACGCTTGTTGCATAAAAAGGGATCCAAGTATAGGGAATTATATCAGCAGCAGCAGCAGCAGCAGCAGCAAAACAGCAGCAGCAGCAGCAGCAGCAGCTGATGAAGCGGGACTAGCTGCAACAGCAGCAAAAGAAGCAAAAGCAGAAGTGTCAATAGCAGCAGCAGCAGCAGCAGCAGCAGCAGCGGCAGCAGAAGCGGCAGCAGCAGCAGCAGCGGCAGCAGCAGCAGCAGCAGCAGCAGCAGCAGCAGCAGCTTGATTTTGTGTATAATAAATAACGCGTTATTTGCGTATTGTTGTTTGTTGTGTTTGTTTTATTTCTTTTTATATCTTTTTGTTTATTTATTTAATTTATTTATTTATTTATTTATTTAATTTATTTATTTATTTAATTTATTTATTTATTTATTTATTTATTTATTTATTTATTTATTTTGCTGCTCTTTATTATTTTAATTGTTTTCCTCAAGGCAAAGAGCCACAGCGTCTTTATTCAGGTGTATAGGCACCTATTTATTATATATATATATATATATA